ATATGAGGATGCCAACACAGAGAAGAATCGAAACCCCAGGAAGGTCTTAGCTGAGCTCCCAGCCAACAGCCAGCACCAACTTGCCAGTCTGGTACATGTACCTAAGTCAATATGTTGCAGCCCACACTGTGTGGACAAGACATGAGCAAGCTCTGCCTAATCCCTCCCAATCCCAAATTTTGGAACAAATTAAGTGAGTAAAAAATTTACCCCTATATGTTCTGTGTAACAGTCAAACTCTTTACCATGCCATTTTTAGTTCTTAACAACCTAACTCTGCCTACCTTTTCATACTTCTCTCCTACTACTCCTTAATCAAATCTCCCTCTCTAGCTAGATTTGATGATTTCCTGAACACACTTTGAGTAATTCTGCCTCCCAAACATATACTGTACCTTCTACCTGAGCAGCTCTCTCCCATCTCTGCCCCCCCCTCTCAGATCATGAGCCACCTCCTTCTCAAAATCTTCCTAACTATTCTACTTCATTTCTCTCCAAGTCTGTGGCTCTTATGCTCTCTCTCATTTGGCACTTATTTATAGTTTCGTTCCATTAATCATTTTCTTCTTGATATTCTTTATTAAAATAACATGTAATTTAGTGCTACTCCAAATCTCATTCAAACTGTTTGCCATAATCCTTTCAAGTGTGGAAACTGAAGGTAATCACTTAGAAATTTTTACAGCAATTTGATAGAGTAATTTTATGCACATTGAACCTAATCATAAAATAATTAGCCTTGTCTTTGCCATATCATTTTCTAGTAATTACTATTTCTTTAAAAATAGACTTTTTTCAGAACAGTTTTAGATATACAGAAAATTGAGCAAAACATACAGAAACTTCTTGTATAAGCCCTGCCCTCCCCCATCCCCTGCAAGCTCTAGTATTAACATCACACACCAAAGTGGTACATTTGTTGTAACTGTTGACACATCATATTACCCAAAATTTATTGTTTACATCAGAGTTCACTCCTGGTATTATACCACAAGGCAGTTTGACTATAATTGATTTTTAATTGCATTTTACAAAATTATCAGTTATGACTGATTAGAAATAAAAAACAAAACTGGTCTAACAGAGTTTGAGAAATACTGTTAACAATGAAACCTACTTGAGGCACTAGACTATAGCACAAAGTTTCTCAACCTCAGCACTATTAACATTTTAGATGGATCATTCTTTATTGTGGAGTCTGTGGGGTGTATTGTAGGATGTTAAGCAGCACGCTTGGGTCTACGTAGACCGTCACATGCTAGAATACCTCCAACCGCTGAGTAGAGTCAACCAAAATTGTTTCCAGACATTGCCAAATGTCTCCTGGGTCAAAATCAACCCAGGTTGAGAACACTACCATAATGGTTAAGAGCAGTCCTGCGACAAGGGTAAATTGTTCAAGCTCCAAATCTAGCCCTGCCACTTAATTAACTGTATATCTTTGGGCAAGTAAATAAACTCATTTTCCCCATTAGTCAAATGATTAATAAAAGTACTAACATTAAAGGCTTTTGTAAAGCAAAAATGATTTAACAAAGAATATATAAACCACCTAGAATAGTATTTGAGACATAGTAAGAATCCAATAAACAAAATACATAGTTTCTCTTAATTCTGGGCTACTTGCAGTGCATATAAAAATGAATAGATATTTCGTCCAATTCTTAGATCCAAGGGAAACCATAGCTTAGTGATAGTGCATAGGTAGAGACAGATATGAAAATAATTACTATATATATTTATAAATGTTATAAAGAGGCAAGTGAGCGAATGACTGTCTTAAACTGGTTTGTGCATATGGGTAAGAATGTACAGGCATAACTCTTTTTATCGTGTTTCACTTTATTGAGCTTCCCAGACACTGTATTTTGTTGTTGTTGTTGTTGTTGTCATCTTACAAACTAAAGGTTTGTGGCAAGCCTGCATTGAGCAACTATATTGATGCCATTTTTCCAACAGATTGTCCTCACTCTTCGTGTTTCTGTGTCATATTTTGATAACTCTCACAATATTTCAAAACTTTTCATTATTATATCTATTATGGTGATTGATGTTACTACTGTAATTGTTTTGGGGCACTATGAACCATGCCAATATCAGACAGAGAACTTAATAGGTAAATGTTGTGTGTGTTCTGACTGCTCCACCAACTGGCTGTTCCCTGCCTCTCTCCCTCTCCTTAGGCCTCCCTGTTCCCTAAGACACAATGATATTGAAATTAGGCCAGTTGATAACCCTACAATGGTCTCCAAGTGTTCAAATGAAAGAAAAAATCACACCTCTCTCACTTTAAATTAAAAGCTAGAAATGATTAAGCAAGGTGAGGTAGGCATGTCAGAAGCCAAGATAGGCTGGAAACCACACCAGTTAGCCAAGCTGTGGATGCAAAGGGAAAGTTCTTGAAGGAAATTTAAAGTGCTATTCCAGTGAAGACACGAATGATAAGAAAGCAAAAACAGACTTATGACTGATAGGGAGAAAGTTCGAGTGGTCTGGCATTGAAAATCAAACTAGCCACAACACTCCCTTAAACCAAAGATGAATTCACGGCAAGGTCTTAACTCACTTCAATTCTGTGAAGGCTGAGAGAGGTGAGACAGTTGCAGCCAAAGAGCTTGAAGCTAGCAGAGCTTGGTTCCTGAGGTTTAAGGAAATAAGCCATCTCCATAACACGAAAGTACAAAGTGAAGCAGCAAGTGCTGATGCACAAGCTGCAGCAAGTTATCTAGTTCTAAGTAAGATAACCGATGAAGGTGGCTACACTAAACAACAGATTTTCCATGAAGACAAAACAGCCTTCTCTTAGAAGATGCTGTCTAGGAGTTTCATGTCTAGAAAGTCACTGCCTGGCTTCAAAGCTTCAAAAGACAGGCTGACTCTCTTGTTAGGGGCTAATGTGGCTGGTGACTTGAAGCCAATGCTCACTGACCATTCTGAAATATCCTAGGGCTCTTATTCTTTTAAATCTACTCTGTCTGTGCTCTGGAAATGGAAGAACAAAGCCCGGGTGACAGCACATCTGTTTACGGCATGATTTACTGAGTATTTTAAGCCCATCTTTGAGACCTACAGCTCACAAAAAAAGATTCCTTTCAAAATAACACTGCTCAAAGACCATGTACTTGGTCACCCAAGAGCTCTGATAGAGATGTACAAGGAGATTACGCTGTTTTCATGTCTGCTAACACATTCATTCTGCAGCCCATGAATCAAAGAATAATTCTGACTTTCAAGTTATATTATTTAAGAAATACATTTTGTAAAGCTATAGCTGCCCTACACAGTGATTCCCCTGATGGATCTGAGCAAAATAAATGGAAAACTTCTGGAAATGATTCACTATCCCAAATGCTAGTAAGAACATTCATGAGTCATGGGAGGAGGTCAAAATAGCAACATTAACAGGAGTTTGGAAAAAGTTGATTCCAACCCTCATGGATGACTTTGAGGGGTTCAAGACTTCAGTGGAGGAAGTGACGAAAGATCTGGTGGCAATAGCAAGAGAAATAGTGGAGCCTGAAGATGTACCTGAACTGCCGCAATATCACGATAAAACTAGTGGATAAGAAGTTGCTTTTTATGAATGAGCAAAGTTCTTGAGAGGGAATCTACTCCTGGTGAGGATGTTGTGAATATTGTTGAAACACCAACAAAGAATTCAGAATATCACAAAAACTTAGTTGCTAAAGCAATGGTAGGGGTTAAGAGGATTTACTCTAATTTTGAAAGAAGTTCTACAGTGGGTAAAATGCTTTCAAACAGCATCGCCGTTTACTAAGAGATTAGTAAAAGATTCACTAAGAGAAATCTTTAGTGAACGGAAGAGTCAACTGCTGTAGAAACTTCATTATTTTGTTATTTTAAGAAACTGCCACAGCAACTCCAATCTTCAGCAACCATCACCCTGACTGGTCAACAGCCATCAACATCAGGCAAGACCCTCCACCAGCAAAAAGATTAGGACTTGCTGAAAGCTGAGATGATTGCTAGCATTTTTAGCAATAAAATATTTTAAAATTAAAGTATGCACAGTTTTTTTTAATACATAATGCTATTGCACACTTAATAGGTTACAATAGTGTAAATACAACTGTTATATGCACTGGGAAACCAAAAGAATCATGTGACAGGCTTTACTAACTTTATTGTGCTGGTCTGGAACCGACCCCGCAATATCTCGGAGGTATGCTTGTACATTATTCATGGAAAAAGTATTATTTTAAAGACGTTTTGAAATAGTGAAAAAGTAGAAAAATGAAGCATCCAAGGGAAAACAGTAAAACTCGGACGGCAGGAAAGCTCGGGAAAAACAAAACAAAACAAAACTGGCGTGTTCAGGGACAGGAAAAGTTCAGCGAGTCTTTTAATGTGTATAGGAGGAGTGAAAAGAAACAAGGCTGGGAGAGTAGTTTGCCGCCAGACTATATGCTTTAGGAGAGAGGGAGGCATTCTAGGTTGTCTTGTTTTCCTTACCAGCTTGTTGATACTCATGGGACTCAATTATCTCAATTTAGACCTCTATGTGGGCACAATAGTGAGTAGGACGCCTGGAAAAACAGACACTAATGTCCCAGGCTGCACTTGACTTCACTCGTGCCTGCGGAAGAAATCCAGAAATGAGGATGAGCATAAGGATGATTCGGGGGAAATAGGGAGGAAGTATTCATGGCTTTGCTCCCTCCTCCCTTATCAAATATCTCAATCCCAGGATCCTAACGGCAGACCTTTTAGGACATCGGCATTTCCCGGTGAGCAATCCCCCCTCGCCCTCCACAAATACAAACCGCGAAGTCTACCACAAACGCGTTGGCTTTAAAACTCATCCCTCAACTTTGGGTCCACCCAGCCGGTTAAGGATATCACGACTCACCACTGATTCTTCTTGCACCCTTCTGGGAGCCGCGCTTAGAGTAATTCGCGCCCAAACATTCGTAAAAGAGGAGACCCGGAAGTGGGCGGGAAGAAAGCGGAAACGGGCATCTAACCCTACCCCTAAACGTCATCAGGAACGCGCCCGTGAGAGCGCGATTAGATTGGCTGGAGGGAAGGCGGTGTCGGCCTACGCCCCCAGAGTCATCCGGCTGTCGCTGGCGGTTGCGCGGTTTGTGTGGGCTAGGTGAGGGCGGGGAGGGCTGGCTGTCTGGATCTCTGACAGGTGAGGCGGGGGACGCAGAAGTCCAGCCGCCCTCTCATGCAGCGGAGTCCGAAACAGGCCTACCAGTGAGTAGGACGTACACCTTTCAGATCGCTCCATTCTTCTGGCTCCTGTCCTTCCTCTACCCCTTTATTTTGAACTTTTGTCCTTTCTCTCCCCGTCTGTCCTTTACTTCTGTCTTCTTTACCTTCCTATTGTGACGGGATCCCACTCTCTGCCTTCTCCTTAGGTTTAGATTTTCACTTCGACCAATCTCTCTTTTTGGGCGAAGTCCTTGGCAATTCGGAGGTACTTCTGGAAAGAAGGTGCTTTTAATACTTTAGGGGCCATGTCGTTATCTTCTCTGGCCACCTAAACACCCTGACTGTTCCCGTTGGCGGAGGTCAGTTTTTGTATGGTTCCAAAGGGATGAGCTTGCTCCATGGCTGCCTCCCTTCTAGGTTGTGGGTTATGTTATTGTCAGGGTTTTTCTAAGAGTTTTCGGGACTAAAAGTGATTTTCTGTGTGTAAACAGGATTAAGAGTGTAAACAGGGTTAAGAGTGAGAGGTAGAATAGAAAAGACAGGTCTAAAGTGACATAAAAGTTTAAATAACTAACTCGTTCTCAGTTTTGTCTAGAAAGAAGGTGGTTTTAGGGAAGCTTGAAGCCCTGGATAACGTACGTGTGTAAAGTTTTAAACCACTTGATGATTTTCTCCCAATATAATTTTGTGTTTAATGATGTACTTATGCTAATATCAAATATAATTTTCATGTTCTATGTTTCCATCTCCAAACCCAACTGGTTGAACATCAGAGTACCTTCTTGAACTATTAATGTACAATCACAGGTCAGCAGCTAAAGCTTGAAGTTACTGGTTCAGAATTTTTTTCTCACTGATTTGTTTTTGAGGTGTGGGGGTGGGACTAATCATTCCTCTTTAACTCATGTTAGTTGTCAGTAACATATTTGCTTTGCGTGTTGCTTCTTTGAATGCTTGAGGCCTCTCTTGATGGTCTTCTGAGAAAATTCAGAGGTCGTATTGCCATCCGCAGTAGTTGTGTTTTTATCGAAAAGTGGTATCTGTTTCCAGCGTCCACCAATTCACATGTGATTTTCAAGCAAGACCCTCCACCAGCAAAAAGATTAGGACTTGCTGAAGGCTGAGATGATTGTTAGCATTTTTTAGCAATAAAATATTTTAAAATTAAAGTATGTACAGTATTTTTTTACACATAATGCTATTGCACACTTAATAGGTTACAATACAGTGTAAATACAACTGTTATATACACTGTGAAACCAAAAAATTTGTGTGACAGGCTTTATTAACTTTATTGTGGTGGTCTGGAACCGACCCTGCAATATCTTGGAGGTTATTGTCCCTTATACGGGGCTCTTTCCTATTAGTTGTTCAGATTTGGGAAAGTCCACGTGAAATGAGTGTGATATTTCCTGCCAACAGTTTAGACTCAGGTGGGTTTCAAATTACCTTTTATAGGATTACTATTGAAACGGTTTAGTTGTAGCTTCATTATTTTTCTCACCCACCTTTTAAGCTAGTAAATACAGTGGATGGCTTGCAAAAAGATAGATGACAAGGACCCCATAGATTTAAAGAATAAAATTGTGCTAGTATTAAAAAATTGAAGGGTTTTTTGTTTGTTTGTTTCTTTTTTCTTCTTTTTTTTTTTTTTTTTTTTGAGACAGGGTCTCTCTGTTGCCCAAGTTGGAGTGCAGTGGCACGATCTGTGCTCATTGCAACCTTTGCTTCCCGGGTTCAAGTGATTCTCATGCCTCAGCCTCCTGAGTAGCTGGGAATTACAGGCGTGTGCCACCACGCCTGGCTAATTTTTGTATTTTTAGTAGAGACTGTGTTTCACCATGTTGGCCAGGCTGGTCTTGAACCCCTGACTTCAAGTGATCCACCCGCCTCGGCCTCCTGGAGTTCTGGGATTACAGGCGTGAGCCACCATGCCCGGCCTCTTTTTTGTTGTTTCCATTTAGACTTTGTTCTATGTACTTTTTACATAGTTGAACCTATTGCATTTAAAATTATGTGTCTTGAGTCTTTTACTTACTACTTTTTGAGTTTCTCTTTTTTTGGGAAAATACGCATAACACATTTTTAACTTTGTACTTATACATGTATTTACAGAAACTGCATAAAGCATAACTGTATAATTTGATGAATTTCCACAAACAGAATATATCTATGTAAGTGGCAATCAGATCAAGAGCATTACTCCCAAAAGCCCCTCTCTTGCTCCTGTTGTATTCTAGCAACCATAAGTAATCATTCTTCTGACTTCCGACATCAAAGATTAGTTTTGCTAGCTTTCTAAACATATTTTAATAGCTACATGAAATGCTATCATTTTTATATGCTGTAATTAACTTATTCATATGTTATTAGACACGATTTTCCTAAATTTTCTCTATTACAAATAAAACTATAGGGAACATCTATGTATTATTACAGAAGCTTTCCCAGGAGTAATGTTCCTCAATGGAACAGCATAAACATTTCTGAAACATTTCATATATATTGACAATTTACTTTCCAAAGTAGTTAAAATAGTTCATACTCTCACCAGTGGTTTATGGCTCTTGTTTAACGACCCCGTAATAAGTGTTGAGTATTTCATTTAAACTTTACTAAACTGATAGGTAAGAAGTGGTATGGAAAATAAAATTTGAAACTCCCTTTATTTGTTGCCGTATGCAGTATAATACACATAGTATAGTGAATATATTAATGTTTGTATCTCAGTATCTTTTTAAATAATAGGCTCTATATGTTTAGGCTGTATGACTCTGACAAATTTTAGTAATTCAGGTGAACAGTTTACTGCTTTGTGAGGTGGGATTTTGATCAGGCGACTTTATTTCTCTAAGCCTCAGTTTCTACATCTAGAAAATGATGACACTGAACCCAGCAACCTAGTATAAAAGTCTTTGCTAGTTATCAGGAATGTACAGCTCTAATGTTGGAGCAGTTTATAAATTAGCACAGAAGTAGATTACTGAAGAGGCCATTTGGCTCACCTTATGGGTTCTAATAGCGTATTAGTTAAATGCAAGGACTTTGAAACCAGCTGCATAGGTTCCAGTCAATGCTGGCTCTTCTGTGCCTCAGTTTCTTAATCTGTAAAATGGGGCTAATAATAGTACCTACCTATCAAGGGTATTGCAGAGATTAAAATTGCTACTCTGTGATGTCATTATAGACTTCTGTGTTACTAGCACATAGAAACGCTGCAAGTTGGAGATAATGCCTTAGCTGAATTAGCAAGAGAAGAATATTTTAGGCAGAAGGAAGAGCAAGAGCAAATTCACAAAACTTTGACATATGCGCAGCCAACTGTAGGTAATCCAGTATTTCTAGTGCACAAAATGCATAAAGAGGACAAAGACAGAGGTGGGTCTGAGGGGGAAACAGAGACTGGTTCATGAAGGCCTTGAATACCTGTTTGTCTTATTCACCACTTTTTTCCTCCTTTACCCAACATAATGTCAGTCATAAACTGATATTTAATAAAAGCATTTTGATGTTAATTAGGAGGCTGTAGTATATCTTCCGCATGATACAGAGTCTGAAAAATTTCATGGGGAGTGTGACATAGTCATATTTACAATGATGTCATTGTATGGAAGGGATTCATATAGAATGGAATAGAAGGGGGCTAAGATGGGTCAGTAAGACCAGCTAAGAGGCTACTGAGGAAAAAGACTGGAACTAGAAGACTGATAGTAATTGTGGAGAAGAGGGGCCAAAGTTATAAAATATCAGGTGCAGGAAGCAGAAAAGGGGAAGAAATGAAATCAGACTAATACATCTTTCTTTTTTATTCCTTTCTAATCAGTAACTCCTATTTCCCACCCCTTGTTCTAAATGTTTATACACTATGTTTCTTTTTCTAGGTCAGTTCTTATTTCTGTTGGGTGTTTCCATGCTCCACCATGTTAAGAGCTAAGAATCAGCTTTTTTTACTTTCACCTCATTACCTGAAGCAGGTAAAAGAATCATCAGGCTCCAGGCTCATACGGCAACGACTTCTACACCAGCAACAGCCCCTTCACCCAGAATGGGCTGCCCTGGCTAAAAAGCAGCTGAAAGGCAAAAACCCAGAAGACCTAATATGGCACACCCCGGAAGGGATCTCTATAAAACCCTTGTATTCCAAGAGAGATACTACGGACTTACCTGAAGAACTTCCAGGAGTGAAGCCATTCACACGTGGACCATATCCTACCATGTATACCTTTAGGCCCTGGACCATCCGCCAGTATGCTGGTTTTAGTACTGTGGAAGAGAGCAATAAGTTCTATAAGGACAATATTAAGGGTGAGATTTTAATTGGACATAGTATTTGTGATAAGACATATACCTCCTATATTTTTATTTTTTTGAGGTTAATCTCTGTAAAGATGATATTCACTCCATAATTTTGTAGTTAAAGACAACACTCTGAAAAAAGTAGATTTTTTTAAACTTCTGTGGTCAAAAAGATAAGTGAGTTAGAATAAGGTGCTAAATTTTTGAAAGAAAACAACACTTACATGCACATTATTTAAAAGGAATTAGGTGAGGTGAAATTGCATGAAGAAAAGAAGACATTAGCTTTGCCTTTGAAAAATGTTTAGCATTGTTGGGATAGGGATTGGAGAGGAAGATAGTTAAATGATGCCCAAAGAAGTGTAAATGTGATAACGTGGTACAAACATTCAGTGCAATCTGGCATTCATTCACTGAAAATTATCTTAATTATTATTAATTCTTTCTGAGCTGTAATAAAATCATACTGTTTGAATACTAAACTGGTAGATTTATAAGATTGTACTGCCCATGGAAGGTTGAACTTATATTTAGTATAGATTATTTTAGTTATTTAAAAATTTTGTACGATTGTCATAATTCTGTTTTCCAGAATATTTTGAATAGCCAAGAATCCTCTTGTGGCAGTATTAGATAAAAGAACAAAAAAGTAAGCAAGCATACAAATGTTAAGTTATTTTTACCATATATGAAAGCCAGATCTTTTCATGAATTTTAGAAATATTTCAATCAAGTACCATATCTTCAGACAGACATGAGATGATTGAGATTTGTTGTTTCTTCCATTCTTTCCTTTAGTGAGGTCTGGAACTAAGTTTGTGCATTTTGGCACAAGGGAAACAACTGACTCTCTTAAGAAGTGAAGTATCTTTATTTAAATTGGTTTTGACATGTATGAGCATAAGAATAGTTGTTATAAAAGTATACTGTTATGAGATGAATCAACATTTTTAGTGGTGTTAAAGTAAATCATTTACCTTGATTCCAGACTCTTGAATCTTACATTATTTTTCTATATGTATTTAGCTGGTCAGCAGGGATTATCAGTTGCCTTTGATCTGGCGACACATCGTGGCTATGATTCAGACAACCCTCGAGTTCGTGGTGATGTTGGAATGGCTGGAGTTGCTATTGACACTGTGGAAGATACCAAAATTCTTTTTGATGGAATTCCTTTAGAAAAAATGTCAGTTTCCATGACTATGAATGGAGCAGTTATTCCAGTTCTTGCAAATTTTATAGTAACTGGAGAAGAACAAGGTGTACCTAAAGAGAAACTTACTGGTACCATCCAAAATGATATTCTAAAGGAATTTATGGTTCGAAACACATATATTTTTCCTCCAGAACCATCCATGAAAATTATTGCTGACATCTTTCAATATACGTCAAAGGTATACTTTGTGGTTATTATAGGTTTTTCTATAGTTCCTTGAATGTAGGAATTTTTACACCATGCTAAAACCTAATTTTAAAACTGAGTATTATAAATTTGGAATGTTTTATTATTGTTACTTTTTGTTTTTAATGTACTAATTTTATGTTCTGTCATTACTTGTAGGAATCTGGGCAATAGATCTTTACTGTGTTTTCTTTATTCCTAAAATTTAACTCTGATAATTGTTAGATTCAGGGAGGTCTTCTACTTACATTTTTAAATTTTCCTCCGAAATTCAGATGCAGTTGTGAAGTAGACACTGGTATCAGACAAATGGGGATTGGAATATCAGCTTTATTTCTGCTAAAAGCTGAATTGGAAGATATCACTTATCACTCATATCTGCAATCTCAAGGAGGTCCCTAATATTCACCCCTGAATTAGACTCATCTTTCCCAATGAGAATGATGGGAAAAGTCCCTCCATAGGGACACATTTTCCTCCTTCATTTTCCTGTGAACAATTTGTTTATATTTCCACCCATTATTCACACTTTGCTTCTTACTAGCAATGCGCTCCTTCTCTTTACCTATGTTAAAGTCAGACCATTATTTCATGGCACAGGGAAAATCGTCATCAACCCTTTTTATCTCTATCAATCCTTGTAATTACTATTATCTCCAAACTCTAGCAAGCATTGCCTAGCAAGCATTTTGTGTTTGGTTAACTCTTGGTAAAGATAGTTTTTCTTGACTCTGCAGGATATGTGTGATATACTCTACCTAACGTGAAATTTTAGGGGAATGGTGGAAATACAGTTTTTGTAGTGACTGTGGTGGAAAGAACCTGTCTGGGATATGCTTAGTATTAAATGTCACAGTAAATCAAACTGGAATCTTTGATTTTTAAAGCCATGCATTTTATCCCATTTTGTTTCAACATATAGTACTAAGAATTAAATCATTTTCTTTTTTTTCCTGCCATGTACTTATTCATGTTTGATGCCTTCATTCAAATTAGAAAATTAATAACTAGTAAATAATAATAAATTTATACATCTTCAGCAGATTAACCCAAAGTTTGGGTCTACAACCTCTTATGAGGTCCAAGTCATTGGTTTGGAATTAAAAATGCCTCATTTAGTTCTCAGACCAAAGGTTACATTCCTAACCTCAGCTAGCTAATTCCACAATTTAAACTTTTAGAAGAATGGTTAGTACAAATTCTTGTCCACCAGAAAAATAAAGTAGGTAGAGTCCTGATGATGGTTCATGGACGAACCATTTCAATTGGAAAGCAAATTAAATGTAACAAATAAGTATTAAATATTTTGTTAACATTATAAACTACCAAGTGCATTTGAGTTTAACGTAATTTTAAAATAATATTTACGCTTAGAAAGTGGATTTAATAGAACCTTTTAATATTTTACTTATTCATTGTTACAATTTTTTTTTTTTAATGTAGCACATGCCAAAATTTAATTCAATTTCAATTAGTGGATACCATATGCAGGAAGCAGGGGCTGATGCCATTCTGGAGCTGGCCTATACTTTAGCAGATGGATTGGAGTACTCTAGAACTGGACTCCAGGCTGGCCTGACAATTGATGAATTTGCACCAAGGTGAGTAAATTAAACCTAGATATTGTTTCAACATTAAGAAATGCATAGGACCATTTTATATATTGATAAAATGGATTTATAAATATAAATATCAGGCTAGATTTAGATTTTCTTATATTTGAGTGATAATGAGAGAAAAAGCCAATATTTCTAATAAAAAATAGAATTAAATTTGGCTGTACTTCTTTGTAAATTCCAGGAATATCTTGTTTCCAACTATTTAGAGAACACAAGTTTCACGTTTTAACAAACTATATTAAAATGTAGACATCATGTTTAGGCAGTTTTATTTTTCTAATTTTTCCATTTTAGAATACGGAATTAATCTATTATTTATTTTTTATTTTTTATTTTCCTGTTGCACTATCTAATGTAATGTTTTGGGATCCACTGTGCTGTTGAAACATTTGTTTCACAACAGTTTCTTAATAATGTTGTATGACAAATATGGGAAAACTTAAATGAAGTTTATGAAATATTTAAATTTGGAAGTCGAAAGTCATTCAGTGGTTCAGTCAGTACAGCAATCACTTGCTAAGCTTTGCTGTGCCAAACACTAGCCTATATGCTGACAATACAACATGTAGAAAACATAGCTTCTGCCTTCAGTGTTTATAGACTACTGAAATGCTCCTTTATACCAGGGATTTGTGTACTTATTGTGACAGCAGTTCCCAAAGTGTGGTCTAAGAACAGTTGGGCATTGCTAAGACTCTTTCTGGGGTATTTGAGATAAAAATGGTTTTTATGCTTATATTAGAGCTTTATTTGCCTTTTTCACTTTCATTTTCTCAAGAATTTATAGTGGTGTTTTTCAGAAGCTACACGATAAGTGATATTGCAACAGATTGCAGAAACAGATATGAGACTCCAGCTGTCTTCTCTTAAGCCATACATTGAAGAGATTTGCAAAAATGTGAAACAATGATGCTTTTATTATACATATATTTTAAGAAGCATACTTATTTTTCATAAGAAATGTTACTAATGTTAACATGTTGTGGGTTTATTTTGATTTGATTTGATGATTATTGAGATAGGATCTTGCTCTGTTGCACATGCTGGAGTGCAATGGCATGATCACTGCTCATTGCAGCCTCAGCCTGCCAGGCTCAAGCGTTCCTCCCGCCTCAGGCTCCCAAGTAGCTGTGACTACAGGTGTGTGCCACCATACCTGGCTAATTTTTAAATTTTCTTGTAGAGATGGGGTTTCCCTGAGTTGCCCAGCTGGTCTCAAACTCCTGGGCTCAAGCTATCCTCCTGCCTTGGCCTCCTAAAGTGCTGGGATTCTAGGCAGTAGCCACTGTGCCCTTCCTTATTGTTACTTTTAAGTGAACTAGTAAAGAAAATATTGATAAATATTATACAAATAAAGAAATAAATTCTTTGGAATCTTCAGTAAGTTGTTTTTTTTTTTTGTTTTGTTCTTTTTTTGAGACAGAGGCTCGCTCTGTCACCCAGGCTGGAGTGCAGTGGTGCGATCTCCACTCATTGCAAGCTCCGCCTCCCAGGTTCACGCCATTCTTCTGCCTCAGCCTCCCGTGTAGCTGGGACTACAGGCGCCTGCCACCGCGCCCGGCTAATTTTTGTATTTTTTTTAGTAGAGACGGGGTTTCACACCATGTTAGCCAGGCTGGTCTCGATCTCCTGACCTCGTGATCCGCCCGTCTCGGCCTCCCAAAGTGCTGGGATTACAGGCATGAGCCACCGCGCCCGGCTGGAATCTTCAGTAAGTTTTAAGAGTAAAAAGGGAACCTGAGATAAAAATATTTGAAAATTGCTGTGTTAAGAACTTCTTTCAAGGCTGGGTGTGGTGGCTCATGCCTGCAATCCCAGTGCTTCGGATGACCGAGGTGGGCAGATCACATGAAGCCAGGAATTCAAGACCAGTCTAGCCAACATGGCAAAACCTGGTCTCTATTAAAAATACAAAAGTTAGCTGGGCATGGTGGTGCTTGTCTGTAATTCCAGCTACTTGGGAGGGTGAGGCACAAGAATCGCTTGAACCTGGGAAGTGGAGGTTGCAGTGACCTGACAGTGCTTCATTGCACTCCAGCCTGGTCAATAGAACAAGACTCTGTCTCAAAAAATCAACTTCTTCCAAAAATGTATCAGGAGTGGATTTGCCAGCTTTGTGCCTTTAGAGACAGGCAAGTAACCTAAATGTTTAAATCAGCACAGAATATGAGATAAAAGGGAGAGGTGAAGGAGAAGTATATGCCTAGACCAAATGCACAATCATTCTTTTACAAAACACTTTCTGACTATTTAAACAAAGCAGATTTGCTGTTTTATTTCATTCATAAGTGACTCCTATCTTACATATTGAGTATTCCTAAAATATATTTTTTTAAAGAAATTGAATCTTTCTTTAATGAAGGACACAAGAAGAGATTCTTTCATAAAGAAAACCAATTACAAAGTGAATAATTCTTACCTGAAACAAAATTTCTTCCATATGCATAAAACTGTGATTTTATGTTAGGTTTAAAGTTACATAAATATACATGTACTGATCTTAATTCAAATTAACTTGTTTGAAATTAAAATATAGACCTTGATTTTCTAGTGTGTGATGCAATTAGTTTTTTTTTTTTTCTGTTCTATATTGTTAAGTTTAATTAAATTCTGGACCTAGCATTACTATTTTAGGTTGTCTTTCTTCTGGGGAATTGGAATGAATTTCTATATGGAAATAGCAAAGATGAGAGCTGGTAGAAGACTCTGGGCTCACTTAATAGAGAAAATGTTTCAGCCTAAAAGTTCAAAATCTCTTCTTCTAAGAGCACATTGTCAGACATCCGGATGGTCACTTACTGAGCAGGTGTGTATATAATTCAAAATGTAGAATTTTAATAAAGTCTTTTATATATATATTTTCTGAGCAATATGGCACAAGCAGGAAATAGATTTAAGAAGCTATCTGTTAATATTTGAAATCATAAATATTCTGAAGCATAATGTATACTTAAATTTGAATTAATCATCATAGTATAACTAAAAAATAATAAAATTGTCTCCTCTAGTGGTAACAATTAAAATCACCTTACATCCTAGCTTCCATGTAGTGCTGAAACACTTTTGTAAGAGTAAACAAGGCTGGGTGAGGTGGCTCACACCTGTAATTCACAGTTGTGGGAGGCCGAGGCAGGTGGATCAGTCTAGGTCAGTTCGAAACCAGCTGGCCAACATGGCAAAACCCCGCCTCTACTAAACATACAAAATAGCTGGGCATGGTGGTGCATGCACTATAATCCCAGCTACTGGAAAGCTGAGGGCAGGGAGAATCACTTGAACCCTGGGAGGTGGAGATTGCAGTGCAGCCGAGATCACACCACTCCGCACTCCAGCCTGGGCAACAAGAGCAAAACTACGTGTCACCCAAAAAAAAAAAAAAAGTAAATGGAATTTAATGATGAGGAAGAAGCAAAAGTCATAAGTTAATACTCCCATATATTTGTAAGAGTTATAATTCTTAACATAAAACTGCCTATTTAAAATTGATTGTATATACATACATATTTTATATGTTAAAGTTGTATGTTTAAACAAGCATGCAAGCAAACAGACTGTTTAAAGACTATTTTTACTTGGGTAATTTTATTTGTTCTCTTAAAAATTGTATAGTTATGGCCTTGTTTTTATACATGTTCTCTTTACATATGAAATTATTTTGATACATTTAAAAATAATTTATATGTACAAAGTTACATTGCTTTTATACATTTAAATGTTGAATAATAACTATTGTGCTCCATATGAAATATAACTTCAGATTCTTATAAATGGAAAAATAGACCGGGTGCGGTGGCTCACGCCTGTAATCCCAGCACTTTGGGAGGCCAAGGCGGGCGGATCACGAGGTCAGGAGATCAAGACCATCCTGGCTAACATGGTGAAACCCCGTCTCTACTAAAAATACAAAAAAATTAGCCGGGTATGTGGCGGGCGCCTATAGTCCCAGCTACTTGGGACTGAGGCAGGAGAATGGCATGAACCTGGGAGGTGGAGCTTGCAGTGAGCCGAGATTGTGCCACTTCACTCCAGCCTGGGCGACAGAGCAAGACTCCATCTCAAAAAAAAATAATAATAAAATAAAATAAAATAAAGTAAATATAAATGAATAAATGGAGAAATAGAGACTTTTAGGGTTGGAAGGAACCTTAATAATCATTTTTATTTTATCTTGCTTATTTTTTCAGCTAAGGAAACTGAAGTTCAGAGAGATCCAATGACTTGCCCAAATCAGAATTAGGCATACAATAAACTAGAACTCAAATTTCAGATATCTCAGTTCATTGTTTTATCTGTTTAGTTAACATTTATTCAGTGCCTGTTTTGTACACATCATTGTGGTATATACTGTGAGGTAGACAAAATAATTAGGGGAGAGTGAATTATGAAATGAAGGACTATATAGTCTTAAGTAGAAAAAGAATGTGTTCTTGATATACTTATAGAAAAGTATTTAGGCAATATATAAGTAAGCACAACAAACGTTTGATATTTCAGAGGATTATAAGAGGTAATGTTCTAGTGCTTAAGAGAAGATTAAGCACTAAACAGTGACTCTGACTCTTCTAATTCTCTTCTAATTCTGGCTTCTAAACTAATTTGTCTAAATTTATTTGCTATTCTGAAGCTTAATATGAAAATTGACATAGAAAGTATGCAGCAGTTGCTGTTTAATCATGTTGCTGTTTATAGTTACAGTATCTATCACTTGTTTCTTTGGGTTTTTGTTTTTTATCAAATATTTTAGGATCCTTACAATAATATTGTCCGTACTGCAATAGAAGCAATGGCAGCAGTATTTGGAGGGACTCAGTCTTTGCACACAAATTCTTTTGATGAAGCTTTGGGTTTGCCAACTGTGAAAAGTGCTCGAATTGCCAGGAACACACAAATTATCATTCAAGAAGAATCTGGAATTCCCAAAGTGGCTGATCCTTGGGGAGGTTCCTACATGATGGAATCTCTCACAAATGATGTTTACGATGCTGCTTTAAAGGTGAGTTTTTCCACTTTGCAACTTTGTTTTCAGAATTTGCAGATTTGTAAAGATTTATAGATTTTAAAACTTATAAGTCAAGATTTATAGATTTTAAATTTATAAATCAAATCACTTACAAATTTATATAATAATTTAAACAATGTTTGCAAAAAAAGAAATTCAGATTTAATTTTATAGTTTTCAAAACTGAATCCATTTAAAAATACATTTGTATTAAAGTATTTTATTAAGAGAATTGAAAAGATAGCTAGTATTAAAAAGCTCATAGAAAGAACAGCAATTTTTGATCTTCCTCTTTTTTTTTTCCTGCTTCCTGGAGTAAGATACATACTTCTTTGCTTATTTTTGTTTTTATCTGCATAGTTTATAATCACATGTATACTGTTTCTTCTAATTTTATCAACTGTAGACATTACACATGAGACCTTAGACACTATTACTTTCCTAGTAGAGTAGTTTAGATTTTGGCTGATTCATACCCCTACTTTGCCTCCTCCCTTAGTACCGATATAATTATATCTCAATATAATCTTTTCTGAAATCTTCTAATGTTCTCATTTGATTTAAATTGTCTTTTCTCTATTTCTGCTCACTATTGCTGTTGTTTCACTCCTCTTTGCCATTATAGTAGGAATATATTTTCATTTCTCCTCTGTTGAATTCTGAATCTTGAATCCCATGTCTATCTCTTGGTTATTTGGAAGTACATCTCATAGAAACCTGCTAAAAATGGTGCATGGGAGATAAATTATTTGAAACTTTGCCTGTTTGAGAATGTCTTTATTCTGTTTTTATACTTGATTGATAATCTGACTAAGCTTGACATTATTTCCATTCAGGAAATTCATAAGCAAGTTTATAAGCATTGATCTGTTTTTTATTCTATATTTTTATTCTGGCTTTCAATATTTCTGATCAGAAATTTGATGCCATTCTTATTCAGGATCTTTCTTTTTCAAAGTATTGGGACCTCGTCTTTACTTTTTGTGTTGATGTATAACTTGGTGTATTTTTTCCTACATGGTACTGAACCTTTATTGGGTCTTTTTCATCTCACTTTTTTTAAAAAAATATTTTTATAGCTCTAGGAAATTTTCCTGTATTATTTATTTCTTTGACAGTTTTTTTCTTGCCATTTTCATATGGTTTCTCTTTCTAGAACTCCTAGTCATAAGCTATGGACCTCCTTAAATAATATCCTGATGTTCTTATCTTTTTTTTTTTTTTTTCTTTTTTGAGACAGAGTCTCGCTCTGTCACCAGGCTAGAGTGCAGTGGCGCGATCTCGGCTTACTGCAACTTCTGACTCCCTAGTTCAAGCGTTTCTCATGCCTCAGCCTCCCGAGTAGCTGGGATTACAGGTACACGCCACCACACCCAGCTAATTTTTGTATTTTTAATAGAGACGGGGGAGTTCACCATGTTGGTCAGGCTGGTCTCAAACTCCTGACCTTGTGATCTGCCCACCTCGGCCTCCCAAAGAGCTGGGATTACAGGCGTGAGCCACTGCTCCCTGCTTGTTCTTATCTTTTCTATAGTATATCTGTTTGCCTTTTTGTTCTGTGTTCTTAAAGATTTGTCAACTTTATGTTTCTACTTATTTTTACATTCATGTATTTTTAATTCGTAGAGCTCATTTTTGTTTTCTAATTTCCCCCTTATAATTAATGTCATCTTCATTTGTTGCATTAGTGCAGAATCCCTTTTTATTCTGAATTCATGATATTTTCTGAAGTTTTCTTTTGCGTCCTGTATTGTCTTTGCTTTCTCTCTGTGCTTTTTGTTATTAGCCTTTAGTTAGAGTACAGGCTTTTATTTTGGTAAGACATCTTACCCTTACTTCTCTCTGTATTTGGTGTTTGATAGTTCATTGCATCTTGAGTTCATTTGCTGTAGACAGTAAACGTTGGTTCTCCTGACAGAATGAGAGAGGGGTGGTTGCAGACTCTGAAATTGTCTTCTTCTTTTTAGCTTCTCATTTTACACTTACGTAGAATCCAATTACGTAGAATCTTGAATTCATCAGGGAAAAGCGGGTTGAACTTGATCCTTTCTGCTAAGCCATATATCATTCCACTGTCTGCTTTCTGCTTTCATATAGAAGCTATGATTGAAAGTTTAAATGCTTCCTGATTTCATTAAAGATGAGGTTACATTGTTTCTCTGCAGCTCAAATAAAAAGTAAATTACATTTTAAAATATATTTTTCTTAGAGACTTTATGTAATTATGAAAACTTTAGGTACCTAAAAATAAAGATTAGAGAATTGATGTGGCTTTAATTTTCTCCCAAGACTTAAGAGGTTTTGTGTTTTTTGGAATATACTTGTTAGTTGTCTTTTCAAGTAACTATAAACACACAAATTCTAATTAATGTCTTTGGTGTTTATTTAATTATGTTCTTATGAAACATTAAAATTTAGTTTATAATTTTATTAATATTAGTAATTATATAACACTCATAACAAATTTGTATAGTTTATACACATTTTTAATATTCTCTTTTAGTTTTGTTAATGTTTTTCTTTTTAGCTCATTAATGAAATTGAAGAAATGGGTGGAATGGCCAAAGCTGTAGCTGAGGGAATACCTAAACTTCGAATTGAAGAATGTGCTGCCCGAAGACAAGCTAGAATAGATTCTGGTAAGATAAAGAGAGAAAGTTCATATATGAAATCCAGCATTTGAAAAGAAATTCATTTCTATTTGAAGATAACATGTATGGTTACTAAAACAAAAATAATGAAAAATGGAACATGGGTAAATTTTTTCTCATATGCTTTATCTATGTTTGTATTTTCACATACATGGATGCACACAGGCAAACATATGTACAAAGTGTGTGTGGATGTCTACCCATTGTATATATGTACTTGTTTGTGAGTAGATGTCATTAACATTTTGAAGATGACACTGTTGATGATGAGTGTTCTCTGCATTGGAGTATTCATTCATTCAATGAATACTTTTTTAGTTTATTTTGTTTGAGGCACTTGCTATGTCTGGGCATACAACTGTGAACAGGACAGACATGACCTCTATGCACACAAATCTTACATTCTAGTAAAAGAGAGGGAAATGATCAAGCAAATAAAGAATCTTATAGATTCATGATTAATGTTGCTATTAAGCGAACTATGGACTAATGAGAGTATAACCAGTGGTAGGGGTTTTGCGAGTATGTTTTATATAAGGAGTAATAATCTGTAGTTTGAGGTAAAATATATTCTTTATCATGTAAGGGAAAGTATCTTTGTTCCATTTTGATTTACTACTTATAGAAGGATTCTTTTTTTTGTTTAAAAGTGATTGGCTGAATTCAAAAAATATTAGAAAAGCTACTGGTATTCATTCTCTACCTATTATAAATCTTTAGACATGGCAACTTCTCTGATTGTTATTTTGAAGTGATAGAAGATTTATTAGAAACTGTGGGAAATGTGTTATAAAGTTTGGTAGAATAATGAAAGTCCTTCCTTACCAGGGAGATTCTGACATATACCCCTACTTTCCTCCCACACCCCCTTCTCAGATTGGGATTTGCTGATCTATGTCGAAGTTCATTAAGACTTAAGAATACCTACTTAAAAGATATTAAATTTATAAGAAAAATACGTCATACCCCAGAGCATTACAATTAGGTAATTATTTGGGAATAAAATTTTCTTTGGGAAATTACCAGGTTCTGAAGTCATCGTTGGAGTAAATAAGTACCAGTTGGGAAAAAGAAGACGCCGTAGAGGTCTGGCAATTGATAATACTTCAGTGCGAAACAGGCAGATTGAGAAACTCAAGAGGTATTAATAGCTTTTTTTTTTTTTTTTTTTTTTTAGTATTTCTGTGTTCTGACCACTGGTGGCTAGGCTCTGAAATTGTTGTGCTTAAATTAATCCTTAAAACAGCATGAGGTGGGTATTAATTTCCATCATTTCAAATGTAAGGGAACTAAAGATAAGGCTTTGAGAAACTTGCTCAGGATAAATAATTAGACAACCCGGACTCAGTCTTAGTCTGTTGACACCAAAAACTTGTTTTAAACCATGATATCTACCTCTGTGAAACTTCTAAGTTGTTATTAAAAACCACACTACAATAATACCTTCCATAATTTATAGGTTAAAACCAAGGCTTAGATAATTATGTAACTTACTCAAAGTTAAAAACAGAATAAAGTTTAGAGTTAGTATGTAGTATGAATTCAGGGCTTCTTATTATGGATTCTTTCACCAGAAATGGTAGCAATCTGATACTACTGTTAAATAATTACTTGCTTTTTGATTTTTAAAATTCAACTATATTTGGTAGTGCTTTAGTTAGGTACAGTATATAATAACCTTTATTTATTTTGATTGAAAACTAGAGTACTGGTATTCCCTTCTTATTTTGTCACTGAGTTGATCCAAAGCATATGAAATACTAAAATAGGTAAATCAAATTCATTGTCACTGTTGTAACCTATAATTTTTGTGTGTTGAAGCTACTTTGGCTCTTATCTTGGCATTTGTAATTACTGCTGTTTCCAAGGTAGGAGGCTTAACAAAATTTAATGGCTTTCTTTGTTCACCTTTTTCCTGAGATTGTTTAATGTCAGACTTTTTTTTAGTTCCACTCTATA